CGAGAGTTTTTTTTTTTTTTTTTTTTTTTTTTTTTTTATTTTTATTTTTTTACTGAAACAAATAATGATATTTATATTAATAAGGAACCAGCTCCAAAGTGGCTGGTGGACATAAACCCCACCTAGATGGTGTCCACCAAAGGGTCCCTGATGAAAATTCAGAGATTGGAAACCAGGACACCTTGCAGATTTGCGCGCTCCGCCAAGTTTGGACGGGAAAGTGGTCACCCACCGTTAAGCGGTCCGGGTTGGGCTAAACGTGTTTCAACCAGGCCCCGTTTCAATGTCAGTGAAAAGTGATTACCAGGGTTGGCATGTGAGGGGCTCATTGGCTCTCGAGGCCAATGAGGAGCGGCTGCGGAAGCAAGCCATGGAAGTAGAGAAGAAGCAGAAGGACCGGCAAAGAACTGAAGCCTTACATGCCACTGAAGCCTCTCCACTGCTTACGTCTCCATGTCTTTGTCGTTTTTCCGTTTCATTGCCTGTGGCTCAAGCAAAACCACAAAATCGGACTTGGTAGTTTTGTAGTGAATTCGACACCAAAGGGCGTCATGCAGATCTTCGTGAAGACCTTGACGGGCAAGACCATCACACTGGACGTCGAGGCCAGTGACACCATTGACAACGTCAAGGCGAAGATCCAGGACAAGGAGGGCATCCCCCCCGACCAGCAGCGCCTGATCTTCGCAGGCAAGCAGCTGGAGGATGGCCGCACACTTTCGGACTACAACATCCAAAAGGAAAGTACTCTGCACTTGGTGCTGCGGCTGCGAGGTGGCATGCAGATCTTCGTGAAGACCTTGACGGGCAAGACCATCACACTGGACGTCGAGGCCAGTGACACCATTGACAACGTCAAGGCGAAGATCCAGGACAAGGAGGGCATCCCCCCCCCAGCAGCGCCTGATCTTCGCAGGCAAGCAGCTGGAGGATGGCCGCACACTTTCGGACTACAACATCCAGAAGGAAAGTACTCTGCACTTGGTGCTGCGGCTGCGAGGTGGCATGCAGATCTTCGTGAAGACCTTGACTGGCAAGACCATCACACTGGACGTCGAGGCCAGTGACACCATTGACAACGTCAAGGCGAAGATCCAGGACAAGGAGGGCATCCCCCGACCAGCAGCGCCTGATCTTCGCAGGCAAGCAGCTGGAGGATGGCCGCACACTTTCGGACTACAACATCCAGAAGGAAAGTACCTGCACTTGGTGCTGCGGCTGCGAGGTGGCATGCAGATCTTCGTGAAGACCTTGACGGGCAAGACCATCACCCTGGACGTCGAGGCCAGTGACACCATTGACAACGTCAAGGCGAAGATCCAGGACAAGGAGGGCATCCCCCCCGACCAGCAGCGCCTGATCTTCGCCGGCAAGCAGCTGGAGGATGGCCGCACACTTTCGGACTACAACATCCAAAAGGAAAGTACTCTGCACTTGGTGCTGCGGCTGCGAGGTGGCATGCAGATCTTCGTGAAGACCTTGACGGGCAAGACCATCACACTGGACGTCGAGGCCAGTGACACCATTGACAACGTCAAGGCGAAGATCCAGGACAAGGAGGGCATCCCGCCGGACCAGCAGCGCCTGATCTTCGCAGGCAAGCAGCTGGAGGACGGCCGCACACTTTCGGACTATAACATCCAGAAGGAAAGTACCCTGCACTTGGTGCTGCGGCTGCGAGGTGGCATGCAGATCTTCGTGAAGACCTTGACGGGCAAGACCATCACCTGGACGTCGAGGCCAGTGACACCATTGACAACGTCAAGGCGAAGATCCAGGACAAGGAGGGCATCCCTCCGACCAGCAGCGCTTGATCTTCGCGGGCAAGCAGCTGGAGGACGGCCGAACACTTTCGGACTATAACATTCAGAAGGAGAGTACCCTTCACTTGGTGCTGCGCTTGCGAGGTGGCATGCAGATCTTCGTGAAGACCTTGACGGGCAAGACCATCACTCTGGACGTGGAGGCCAGTGACACCATCGACAACGTCAAGGCGAAGATTCCAGGACAAGGAGGGCATCCCCCCTGACCAGCAGCGCTTGATCTTCGCGGGCAAGCAGCTGGAGGACGGCCGAACACTTTCGGACTATAACATCCAGAAGGAAAGTACCCTTCACTTGGTGCTGCGGCTTGCGAGGTGGCATGCAGATCTTCGTGAAGACCTTGACGGGCAAGACCATCACCTGGACGTCGAGGCCAGTGACACCATTGACAACGTCAAGGCGAAGATCCAGGACAAGGAGGGCATCCCCCCGACCAGCAGCGCCTGATCTTCGCAGGCAAGCAGCTGGAGGACGGCCGCACACTTTCGGACTATAACATCCAAAAGGAAAGTACTCTGCACTTGGTGCTGCGGCTGCGAGGTGGCATGCAGATCTTTGTGAAGACCTTGACGGGCAAGACCATCACACTGGACGTCGAGGCCAGTGACACCATTGACAACGTCAAGGCGAAGATCCAGGACAAGGAGGGCATCCCCCCCGACCAGCAGCGCCTGATCTTCGCAGGCAAGCAGCTGGAGGACGGCCGCACACTTTCGGACTACAACATCCAGAAGGAAAGTACCTGCACTTGGTGCTGCGGCTGCGAGGTGGCATGCAGATCTTCGTGAAGACCTTGACGGGCAAGACCATCACCCTGGACGTCGAGGCCAGTGACACCATTGACAACGTCAAGGCGAAGATCCAGGACAAGGAGGGCATCCCCCCCGACCAGCAGCGCCTGATCTTCGCAGGCAAGCAGCTGGAGGACGGCCGCACGCTTTCGGACTACAACATCCAGAAGGAAAGCACCCTGCACTTGGTGCTGCGGCTGCGAGGTGGCATGCAGATCTTTGTGAAGACCTTGACGGGCAAGACCATCACACTGGACGTCGAGGCCAGTGACACCATTGACAACGTCAAGGCGAAGATCCAGGACAAGGAGGGCATCCCCCCCGACCAGCAGCGCCTGATCTTCGCAGGCAAGCAGCTGGAGGATGGCCGCACACTTTCGGACTACAACATCCAGAAGGAAAGTACTCTGCACTTGGTGCTGCGGCTGCGAGGTGGCATGCAGATCTTTGTGAAGACCTTGACGGGCAAGACCATCACACTGGACGTCGAGGCCAGTGACACCATTGACAACGTCAAGGCGAAGATCCAGGACAAGGAGGGCATCCCCCCCGACCAGCAGCGCCTGATCTTCGCAGGCAAGCAGCTGGAGGATGGCCGCACACTTTCGGACTACAACATCCAAAAGGAAAGTACTCTGCACTTGGTGCTGCGGCTGTGATGACTTTGCGTTTTGCGTGGTTCTGTAGCACTGCTTTAATCGCTGATTGCAATCAGGACGGCGCCTAAATTCGATCACCTCTGAAAGGAGTTGTTGCACAGTGCGCGTCCCAGTCATTTGGGGCCTGTACAGCGCACACCTGTGCCACGATTTGACCATTAATTGGAGCTTGGCGCCCGGTCGTCAAAAAGAGATCTCTGCCTCGTCTTTGCCTTTGTGGTGTCAGTTGCTGAGTTGCTGAATAGACAGAGTACATTAATGTGTCGTGCGATGTGTCGCCGAAGGCCGAAGCTAAAGCTGTTATTGTTGGCTTGCAACAAATCAAGGAGCTGAAGATGAAGGAGAAGGACCTGAAAGAGCGCGAGCAGCACTTGCAGGAGGTACTTGGAGTGGCTCGGACAAAAGATGCATGCCCCTTTCATTTTGTGATCAACTGAAGTGTCCTTTCCTGCGCCAAACTTATGAAGGAGAGGCCCTTCAATTTGAATAGCACTGGGCCTAAATCAGAACACGCCAAATGCCATTGTGCCGTGGTCAAAGGACCTGCTCACTTGGGCTAAGTAGGGATGGCCATGGACCTCTTGATAGGGAATGAGGCAAGCGATATAAGGATCCCTATTCAAATGTGGGAACCATGACCATGATCCACAGAAGAAGTTTTGACCCTGGCGTGTGTGCGCGCGTGCAGCGATTTGGATCATGCTCTTTCATGTGATGCTAAGGAGGAGGAAACCACAGATGAGTCCGAGGCGGAGCCACCGGTAACAGAGCCGGAAATTGCCACATAGCAGCTTGGTACAGCTTACACGGGATCCCTCGCTTTCAGTGAATCTTTGCTGCTGCAGTCGGTGTGATTTGTTTTTGATACTTCTCTTCCCAGATTCGGGAGCAAGGCAGTGGAGATTCCCCGATCTTTGCGTAGTTGCCACTTCTTTTTGCTGACATTGAGCCGACCAAGTCATGGTTGGTTTTGAGAGGAGTTGGAAGCTTTCTAAGGGAGAGGCCTTTGAACAAGGGAAGGCTCTCCGGAGTCACTCTGACATACTCAGGTGCAGTGCTCGCTTTGCGCGCGCCTACAAAGGGCTGGGCGTGCTTTGGTGAGCGCCGGTTCTACAGCGAGACCCGAGTCACCTTGGAACTGTTGCCCTGGAGGGGGTCCAAGAGGTGAAAGGGTCGAAAGGTTTGAAGGTCTCGGTCTCGGGCCTCAGGTTTCGCTAGTGTGCAGCTCATGCACCTTAGTTCCAGATGTGCCATTGGGAGCCACAAAGCCGCCACCTCAAACAAAAGTCTGGTAGGCTTTGTATGCGTCCCAGTTGCATCTTGGAGATCCCCTTCCGTGGTCTCTGTTTCACGGTCTGCATTTCTTTGGAAGGCCGTACACATGGTCAGCCAGTGCACAAGCTGCAGCCAGAAACGAGCCTTTGCGGGACTTGCTGCGTGGGCACGGGAACGGTGCATCCTCAAAAACGGGGGGGGGGGGGGAGCCGAGCTGCATGAAGCTCCCTTCAGCATTCCTTTCCGGAAAATTGGGGCTGGTTTTCGAAAGTGCTGCCCGCCCGGCCAGCGCGGATGGCACGCCGGGCGCCATGATCACATAATTTCATCCCCCCCGGAATAAGAAAAAAGAAGGATAAATCAAAACACACACACGCACACAAACAAACAACGCAAAATGAATAATAAGACCCACACGACCAACACCAGGCGGAGGGGGGTCTGTCGATCAGGTCTACTTTGATGGCACCGAGGAGGCGGAGGACAGCGGTCAAGCGCTGGCCTTTCTGCGGGCCAAGCTCTGCGAGGCCGGGCGAGGAAGTGGCTCGCGCTTTTGGTTTCAAAGAAAGAAGCAACAAATCAACTACCTTTTTTTGTGTGTTTTAAGCATTTGAGACGCACTCCTCCCGTTTTGGGGCAAAGAAGCCCTTGTGGTAGAAGGCGATTTTGTGGTTGAAGTGGAAACCGGCTGTCTTTCGGGGTTTACTGATTTTGAGAATGAGCTTCTCTAGCGATCGAAGTTTGTAGTACGCCATGGCTTCTGCTCAAGACTGCAAGTTTTTGTGGGCATGGGTCACATGTGGGGATAGCCACTACGTTTGGAAGGAGGGGCACTACTCATGTTATCACACGGTTCGAGTGCTCGGGGTGAACAGAGATGATCAACGTTTGAAAAAGACTTTGACAAGCATGAGTTGGTCTTTTGATTCGCTCTGGTGACATTTTTCTACCCCTTTGCAAGCGTTGAAGGCCACCACCCTGGAGGGCTTGTCTTCAAGAAAGCCAGGATAGCCAAGTTGCCCCCCCCCCCCCAAACAAGCTGATCCGGCGAGCCGCTGTGTTTGGCACGCGCCATGAGGTCTTCGAGCGGCTGAGGACCGAGCTGGATCCGTGCGCTGGGCGAAGCGGCCCGTCGCCAAACTTTTTGGAAGTTGGAAAGGTACCTGTGGCACAGGGATCGCTTCATCCTCGAGCCGCTTGGCCTAAGTTTGTGGGTTTCCCTTTTCCCGTTTCCCGAAACCTTGAACTCTGCGTCTCCCTTAGTCTTTTAGAGGGGACCAAAACGCCAGACGGACATCTCGAGGCCCTGCTTGGAGGAAGAGCCTCACCTCACAGGGCACCTGAGAATAGGCGGGGAAGCCACGGAGTGCCCTGAGACAGACCCGAGTTTGGTCGGCTGGGCTTCATGAGCTGCGGAGTTTGGTTGGCTTTCTTGGGGGATGGGAAGCGGCATCGCCTGCCGTTCGTTGCGTCTTCGCATTGCTAAGCTTGAGCTGAGCCAGACTCTTCGTGTGAATTCAACTGATTTTTGACTGGGGATGTTTCGTCGATTTATCTCCAATCGTCGGCGAGCCGCTCTTGGTCGAAATGCACAGGCGACGGCATGGAGGACGAGTGGTTTGTGTGGCCCCCAACATATTTAGCGCGAAGAATCGTGCCGTGGACATGCCAACTGTGGCAGAAGCTGCAGTGCGGAGAGAAGCCATCTGAAGCTATCCCGAGGGAGTGCCAAGATTTTGAAGAGAAGTAGCAACATGAGCAACCAACATTTGTATTGGCCATTTTCTCATGTCAGTTTGGGAAACAAGCACTTTTGTCTGGAGCTCACGCGTAGACTCATAAGGTGGTGCATTTGCTGCGCCGCCTCAGTGCTGAGCGGCCTGACGTCTCGCGGGGAAGCCTGGTTTGCTTCCTTTCAACTAGCACACATGTTTTTCTTTGGCAGACCTGACTGTTTTCTATGTTCCGGAGCCTTTGTGGCTGCTTGGCGCGTTGCGCCGGCCCGCTTCATGATTTGGCCTGGGTACTTGCCAAATGCTGTCTGTTGGATTCAACCCATTCGGCCAACCAGTTTTCCCCCCACTAGCTTGATGATGATGATGATGATGATGATGATGATGATGATGATGATGATGATGATGGTTTTTAGGGGAAGACCTGCTGCTTTGAGAAGCAGGCTCCAGTTGCACTCTCGCGTCCTTCCCATGACATGAACTTCCGGCCAACTCTGTTTGCTTTGTACTCGCTGCCTTTGAGTCGGGGCTCCAAGGTGTAGAGTCGTGGATGCCGATGGGGAGGTGATACTCATTGAGGCCGAAGGGTTTTCTCTGTGACTTGATCGGCAGCGAGTGATCAACAGAGGATGGGAGACACCATGATTTCACAAACTGCGCATAGCATGAGCTTAATGCCACCTGCTTGCTACCACATGCATGAATGCATCGCAGTTGTTACCTGTCACAGTCACAGCGCCGTGATGTTAGACATCCAGCTTGCCATTTTCCTTTGCGGCTGGGCGCGGCTGCCAGGCAGCCCTAGCGGCGCCTCGTTGGGCGTCGCCCGCCAACGCAGAGAGCCGATGTTGGCGCCGGCCTGAGCAACGCAGAGAACATCTCAGTCGCAGGTTGGTTTTCTGAAAGCCCCGGCCCGTAATTGTTTGGGAACCATATTGTGCCAAACATCTCATCCTTTTACAGGATTCTCGAATCTTCCGGCGTTGGGAACCATTTTGACCTGGATTCGGATGTTTCGGCCATAAGAGGCCTGGGCTCTCTCTCTCTCTCTCTCTCTCTCCCTCTCGCTCTCCCTCCCTCCCTTCTCTTGCTGAGGCTCCGCGGAGGCCAGGTGCACCTCCTGCCGCCGGCCAAGAGAGATGGGTTTAGGTCCTTTTTGTCGAGAGATGGGTTCTTTTCCCCGGGAGGGGGAGAAAAAGGACCCACAGCAGCATTTATTTCTTCGGGGGAAAAAGGATCCCACAGCAGCATTTATTTCTTCGGGGGAAAAAGGATCCCACAGCAGCATTTATTTCTTCGGGGGAAAAAGGATCCCACAGCAGCATTTATTTCTTCGGGGGAAAAAGGATCCCAGCAGCATTTATTTCTTCGGGGAAAAAGGATCCCACAGCAGCATTTATTTCTTCGGGGGAAAAAGGATCCCACAGCAGCATTTATTTCTTCGGGGGAAAAAGGATCCCACAGCAGCATTTATTTCTTCGGGGGAAAAAGGATCCCACAGCAGCATTTATTTCTTCGGGGGAAAAAGGATCCCACAGCAGCATTTATTTCTTCGGGGGAAAAAGGATCCCACAGCAGCATTTATTTCTTCGGGGGAAAAAGGATCCCACAGCAGCATTTATTTCTTCGGGGGAAAAAGGATCCCACAGCAGCATTTATTTCTTCGGGGGAAAAAGGATCCCACAGCAGCATTTATTTCTTCGGGGGAAAAAGGATCCCACAGCAGCATTTATTTCTTCGGGGGAAAAAGGATCCCACAGCAGCATTTATTTCTTCGGGGGAAAAAGGATCCCACAGCAGCATTTATTTCTTCGGGGGAAAAAGGATCCCACAGCAGCATTTATTTCTTCGGGGGAAAAAGGATCCCACAGCAGCA